TAAATAAATAAATAAATAAAAACGTTGTAATGTCATTATTTGTGTTTATTGTAACTATATCTGGTGATTTAATTTGCTAAATTAATCCTGTGCCAAATTTCACTGTTTGAAATAATAATATAATTCATAATTAGTTAAATTACTTGTTATTACAAACTGTTACTGCTGCACTTTGTAAAAAAACATTTAAAATTATTCCTGCTGTCAGAATTCTGGGAGTGATTACTCCTTACAGAAAAAAATTAACTGCAGTACTACTGAGTTACATTCAAAATTTAATCAAACAACTTTACTATCAATGTATGTCAATGAAATTAACATAATGTATGTTATAACTTGAAGTTTTATGTATCTAAGTTTTAATTCCTCTATTTCACAAGAAACCTTTAAAAAAATGCTTAAACTTCACTTTTGTTTCAATGTAATGCATGAATGTTCAAAAATCCAAACTTCTGGTTGGTTACTTGCTTTATTGGTGCAAACCAACAAGGCTATCTGTACCAAACAACCAGTATAAAAGAAAAGTTTAAAAGCTAAACAAAAACCAAAAATTAACTAAAAAACTTAAATAGAATGAAAAAGATTAATGGCACATAAAAAGCTAAAAACATGATCATTATGGTTAGTTTCACCATTACCAATGACAATGTCCAATGTCAGGTATAAACCTCGAGATGAAACATGTCAGAAATGTTGCTGCCATTCCCAGTTGTAACAAAGTGACTTCAGTGTCACAAATGCCACACATTGGCAGATCAGTCCCACATAAAAGACAATGATGAGTTAAAAAGCTGTGCCAATATGCAGCCTCCCCTTGATTCTTACAGAAACTACACAGCAAAACACCAACATTAGGTTTGATTGGGAAAAGCTTGTTATAAATTTGCTCACTGCAAATAAACTGGTAGTAAATTTAATCAAAGGTTCCTCCTGGCTATTATCTCTGACCAGATGGGTATGGGCTCTGCACCAAACAAATAATAAAAATGCTAGAAGTAAAAGACTAGAAAATGTAAAAAGAAAACAAGCTAAAATCAAAACAATGCCCAATGGCCCATGAAAATCTAAAATCACAGGCAAGCAGGACAGTATCACCATCACTAATGACACTGTTTAACGTCAAAGGTAAACTCTTAGAAAAGACATGTCTGAAATGGTGCAGTTGCTCACAGACATAAACACGACATGAAAGTAAAATGTGGCCAATTGAATCTTGAATGTCACAAAGGCCCCAAATTGGCAGATCAGTCACACATAAAATAAAGCCCTAAATGTGCTGCCAACTGGCACGAAGCCGTGTCTTGATCACAGGACTATAGTCTGCATACAGGACAGGCACAGCTGTGACAATACCAGAGCAGATGGATTTAGCTGCAGTGTCATCAAGTTCATTCCCTATAATACTGACATGGCAAGGTATCCAAGAAAAACTGGAGAGAAACAGATAACAGTCATTTCTGAATATCTAAGAGAACAGGGTGAGAACTCACCTTAAGAGATTTCAAGGCCAGTAGAGAGCTAAGAGAGTCGGTGTAGATAGTACAGTTAGTGTACTGCTGAGCTTCTATGTGATCTATGGTGAGAGAAATGGCATACAACCCGGAAATGAACACAGAAACTGTAAAGAGGATCCTGTGAGCAACCACCAAACCACAATAAACCCCGATAGAGCCCACAGAGTCACCTAATTTCAAACCATACATAAAAATAGTAATCGAAGAACAGTTTGAAAGACATTCAGCAAAGAGATGATGGTACTTCCAATTGAGGTTAATAAGCCATGGAGGGATGGGTTGATCATCAGATTCAGCAACATAATCCAATGACAGACCCAACTCAGCCAGCTGCACCTGAATACAAAGGTCAAAAGGAGGAATGGCAGAGCCCCAATGCTCAATGAGCAATCCTCATCGATGGAGGAAGACACAGCCCCAGATGGGATGCCATGGTAAGGACCGAAGCTTGGTAGCTTAAAGTGAGGAAAGTTACAAAAGTCTGAGGTAAAGAGGCAGTTCATAGGACTCTGGACTTGTTAAATGTGGAAAGCCTCTGGGCAGAGTCAAAGCCCCAAATGATGTACAGGGTCCAACATCTTCAAGGCAGAGGCATTGGCAGAACCAGAAACCCATGGACAGGCTTGGAATGTATCAGGGCACAACAGATCTTCAACACAGAATATTGATCCACTCCCCAAGAGGTGGGAGAGAGAAAGCAAAGGATGTTTAGTGCTCTTGTACACTTTGACACAAAGCTGCTTAATGTGAGGAATAAAGGTAAGCTCACAGTGAAAGATAAGTCCCAGGAACTTAGTCTCAGATACAATATGAAGAACATCACCACTGAGATGGAACTCCAGATCAGGATGCATACCCTGCTGGTAGCAAAAATTTACATGAACAGTTTTATAGGAAGAGAAAGTGAAACAGTTTTCCCCAGCCCACACCAACAACTAATTGTGAGCAGTCTGAAGCTGCCACTCAATAAACCTCATATTCTACGACCAACAAAAAATAGGAAAATGATTGACATAGAGGTTGTTGGCAAGATTAAGAGGAATTTGTTTACTGATAGCATTGATCTTAATACTGAAAAATGCAACACTCAAGACACAGCCTTGAGGGACTTCAAACTCCTGTGTGAAGGAACGAGAGAGGGTCGAACCCACACAAACTTGGAAACTGCAGTTAAGTGAAAGTTACAAATGAAAATGGGCAAGTGGCCACACAACCCATAGGAGTAAAAGTCCTGTGATATTCCACACCTTCACACAGTGTCATAAGCTTTCTCAAGATTAAAGAAAATTGAAACAAGATGCTCTCTTATGAGGAAGGCTTCCCTGATGGAGGTTTCAAGATGAAACAAGTATGAGGGGTATGAACCACCACAATTGACACAGTGAGGGTCCAATTGACAAACAGTTCATGTGGTTGGTCAAATTGTCTGAGCCCATGTTGAGAGAGCTAAGTACTTTTTTAAAGGTTTCTTTTGAAATAGAGGAATTAAAACTTAGATATCATAAAACCTCAACTATATCATACATTATGATGTTAATTTCATTGACATACAATGATAGTAAAGTTCTTTAATGAAATTTTGAATGTATCTCAGTGACTTGCAAAGAAAGGAATTTAGAGGTACCTGTTGCAAAAGGGTTAATGTCACATGTATTTCTGATAATGAATCTAGTACAAGTCATTAGACTTACCAATAATTATAAAAACAAATTCCATAAAGCTTCCATATCTAGGCCTTGGTACATTATACTATTAATAAACAAGCTACTTTAGTCTTTTTACAAGTTACGTGAAGGAAAATGTTACTTACAGCCGATCGTATCCTTACACTTTGTATTTTTCCAAACTGTTTAAAAAGTGTCTTTATAGCCTGTAAAAAGCAAAAAAACTTTTAAATAGGATCAATGTTGGATTGAAAAACGTAATTCTATTTGTTATTTTTTTCCTACATTAGCCATTAGTTGTTCATTATACTAGAAGCATTTTAAAATTGATAAACATTACAAAATAAGTAACTAACAGCTTAGCAAACATAGGTAAAAAATTCACTTTCCAATGGCTCAAAGGGAAAAGGCATGAAGGACAATACTAAGATTCCAATTTGGTAAGAGAACTGAAACTAGTTGGGGGAGAACAAAGAAGGAGAAAGGACTTAAACAAAAGAGAAAAGACAGGAGAAGATAAAATATGGAGAAAACAGGAAATACAAAAAGTATTGGATAATGCAGCATTATAGCCTGCAATGGTAGAAATTGATAAACCATTGTCAAAGAGCCAAGAGGAAAAAGTTGGAAAGATTGGGAACAATTGGTTGAGAAGGGGAGAAGCCATGACACAGAGACCAATGATGAAAAACATGCCATTTATGCTGATAAACAAGCAAAGAAGAATAACAAACAGAATGAGAAAGAAAGAAGGCTATCTGCAAATAATCCGGACCTCCTCACAATGGATCAAAACCCACACATGAAGATGTAATGTGGATATTGTTGGATGAGCAAGGTGGGAATGAGGTTGCCAGAGAAGAGTTTGGTAAAGAGGAAGCAGCAGGGGAGGAGATAATTGAAGGATGTTCAAGAGTGGAAACCATGGCTGGGTTAGCCAAAATGGAGAAATGAGAAGGACCCGACACAGGGTGGTGTAAATAAGTGAAAGAACTCAGGGAAGAAGGTAGACATAAAAAAAAAAGATTGGACCAATCCTGACTAAAAATCAAGAGCTGAAGGATGTGGAAAAGGTGACCAGCACAGAGAATTAGTTTCTTATTGAGATGGGTGACAGGTGCATCCAGAAGGGAAGTATCACAGGAAGGAAATGATCTAATACCTTACAAACAGCCAGGAGCTCCAAATGATTGATATGTAGAGATGAATCGACCACAGACCAATGACCAACAATCTCCTTAAAATCGAAATACTTCCCTACCTATCACAGATGCATCCATAAAAGAGATGAAGAACGGAACATGGAGGAGGAGGAAGAGGAATGCCAGTCATGGGTTCCTGAGAAAGGTTCCATTGATTGTGCAGCACCCATTGAAGAGAACACGTGTGCATGACCCATAAACCCAAGGGATGAGAGATTTCATGGAAGCCAAGTCCCCAAACGAGAGAGAGAGAGAACATCACGTGCATGGAGAGAAGAATTCCTGGCCTTGGATACCAAACACTCCATATCCCTCAAACACAAAGGAGAAGGCTGGGCCTTGCCGAGATGGTTGTTAAAAAATAACCCCAAATGAATAAGGGATCTCCTACAGAAAAAGATAGGTATGGTTGCAAGAGGTTTGTTGGGAAGGAGCCAAAAGATACTAGTCATATATGTAATGGTGAAACTGCAGTCCCAGTTTGTGAATATGATGGGTAGTCTTCGACAACATGACAAAAGACATATGGAGCTGACACCAGCCCTAATGGTAGAACACGGAATTGAAACATCCAACCTCCATGGACAAACTGAATGTGATGTCTGGAGAAATGGGAATATGAAAGTAAGCATCTGAGATGTTGACCTTAGTCATCCAAAGACTTGGAGTCAATGGTCATCTGAGGTTGAGAAAAGAGTCTATGGTGAAATGAGGGAGGTCAATGAAGTAGTTTAGGTTCAAGAGATTAATAACTTGATGCCAGTTCTAGGGGACAACAAAAAGATGGGAATAAAACCCTGGAGAATGGAGAAACACCTGTTCGATAGTGTTCTTCAGCAAAAGAAGAGAATCAAAACTACCTTTGAAAAATGCTGACAACACAGTATTTCCCAAGGAGGAGGAAAAGAAAAAGGAACTGGAGGTAGTGAAGGACAAGAGGAATAATTAAGAATCAGACCATCTGCCAACATCTGAAGAACTCAAGAAACTGCAGCAAAAGAATGCCACAGATGAGCAAATTGTGTCATCTGTGTCTTCACTGAGCTGAACGTAAGAGGTTGTCACAGAGAATACTGACATTTTAAAAAGTGACAATGGGAGTTCTAATGACTAGAAACTGAAACACTGGAAGGTGGTATAGGTAGAGGAGAGAAAGCTGGAGGTTGAGGAATAGGAACAGGAAAGGATTAAGAAAGTTAGGAAACAAGAGAAAAAATTGAGGAATGTTGGGCATCATCTCCACAGAAGTCTCTCTGTGGCTTTGCGCTCTACACCTTCGTCTGAGGATATTTTAGCCTTGGTTAGTTCGGAGTTGGAATCGTATGTGTGGCCTATAGTGTCTCCTGAGCCAAAGGCAGATCTCCCTTTCCCTGGTAACCTGTTCCTGTGGACGAAGACTTGGACAGCCTTTTTCATCTCCTGTTTTTTGTGGCTATTCTCTGTCTATTCCTTTGGATTTCCCTCATCCTTCATCGACATGATATCTAAAGTTTATTACTTTTTGTCACTTTTCCCTTTCTTCTAAATGCTGGCCCGACATTTGATCATTTTGTCCCCACCCCCCTCCCCAGATATTTGCATCCATACATACCAATTCCTTTCTCAACTTTGTGCTGGTGCCAGCATGCCTTGTCTCCCACATATGGCAAACATGCATGTTTTAGCTTACCATAAGTTTGAATTTCCTTTTCTTGATTCTCGGTCAATGAAACCACTGTTTCAGGCATGGGCTCAGATCCTTCTGCTAACCTTTACTTTCTCCCTCCCCAGATCTCTTGTCTTTGTTTTACTCTGACAACCCTCTTATGTTATCTTTCATCTATTCATCTCCTTTCTGAAGCTACCCATTTTTCCTCTGAGGTTTTTTTGGCAGAAACACGTTCTCTTTTTTTCTCCACATTGGCATGTTTGTTTTGTTTAGCTTTGTCACTCCATATGTGGTTGCTTTGTTGTTGGATCTCCATGGCAGGATGCCCTTTTTTTATGTGTGTTTGGCTGCTTCTTATCTGCTTGACCTTTGTCTGGCTCCTTTTCTAAACCAGTCTGAGATGTTCTTGATTTTTTTAGTGTTAAGTCTGGTAGGATTAGTTGTAGAAGGATTCATACCAGAAGCAGTAGTTGTTACATTAAACTGTGAGTTCATAATGGGAAAAAGAAAGAAAAACTTTTCACAACCAAACGACAATAATTCAATGATGAAGAACCCACTTTGAGACTAATAATGCTTGGAGACGGCTTGAATGGGTAATGAAGAAAAACTTTAATATAAGTTTAACATAACAGCAAATGTACAACATTTTGACAAGGTTTTGTCATCATCAGGTACAAAACATTAAAATTGTCAAAAGGTTAAAATTAAAGCAAAATATGCAATGTAAGGAACCAAAAAATTGCACGAGTGCACTTATGAATGCCAAATCGAAAGGTGATGAGTGTAACCTCTGTTATAGAGGTAGTCAGCTGTGCTAGGAGGGTGTGTTGCATGCTACAACTCAGCAGACCACGCGGAATCCCACGAATTTTGATGGGAGCCTCAAAGCTAGTGGTGAGCAAAAATTTACCCATATAAAGGGCAGTACAAATCAAGGAAAGCTATTATGCAAGTATAGGTAAGGTATCATATCGGAATAAATGTTCCCAATTATTACTATTTTTGGATTTACATGAAACCTTATAAAATGGAATTTCTAAGGTTGTCAAGAGTTATTATACACTTCATTAGCCAATTACTTTTTTTAATATCTGAACTGTATATTATATAATAAAGAAAAAACAACAAAGTAAAAACAGTGATAAACTGTAAAAATTTCTAAGTAAATGTATGTTTAATAAGTGTTTTACTATAAACATATTTCTATTTTCAAGAAAAAATAAAATTTAAACTAATTGTTGATTAAAATTTAACTTTCTTAATATTTCAACGAAAAATAAGCTTCACTCTGCTACAAAAATGTTGGAGGAATTACACGGCTTTAGTTTAAAATTTTCATCCAATTCTAATACGAAGTAATTAATCAATGGAAATGCTTCTAAAACGAGAAGAATATAGTAATACAACATTCACAAATTCTAAAATAAAACTATTCAATTTTATTTTGCTCTATTAGCAATGGTTCATATTTTGTAAAAGACACAAGTTACTGAAGTACAAACTTTGCTCTCAGCAGTGATTGGAAGGTTTCCGACAAAAACTGTACGCATGTCTTTCTCAGAATCATCCTCTCTTTTTTTCTTAGGTGATGGTTCCTCATTCTGCTTCTGTTCTTTCACTCTTTTCCTCTTTATGCTTACTGTGTCACTTGCACCAAATAATTCTTCTTCCCTAAGTGTAAAAAACTAATAATGATCTACACTACACATTATAAAGTAATAAACAACAAAACATAACAGAAATCAAATGTCATTTTTACTTTTCTTAATTATAAATTAACTCACCAAAACTTGAAATATAAATATTAACACCAAATAGTTACTATATCTTTAAAGTAAAAGCTGGTCACATTATTCAATTTTTTGAATTAACCATACATTTTTAAAGAAACTACTGGAAAACATTAAAATTAGATATGTCACACCTGTACTTAACTATGGAATATCTTTCATTGTAGTGATACAAATTATGTCTATAAAATATTATTTTCTGGAAATATTCCCATAGATATCGGATGTCTAAATAAATGTGTAATAACTTATAGAAACTAAAAACTAATTATTATTTTTAACAAAAATACATTAACCAATAGTTCCAGGAAACTAGGTCAATTTTATGTACTGTCCAATGTTTTGGTTTATGTCTTTAATAAATAAGGACACCTTACTACACACATATTAAACAACAACTTAGTCATAAAGCTTATCTACAACATTAGTGAACATTTTGCTAGAATGTTGGGCAATAGATGAAATTAAAGTAGTTTTCTCAAGTTACTGATAATTTATTTACACAAATATGGTCTTGTATTCCAGAATGCAACAAACTTTAAAATGAAATCACTCTTCATGTTTAAACAAACACAATTACAAGTACACGTGTCTTTATATTCTACTGAAATTTACCTTTTTAATACTAAGTCTGATGTCCTTAGAACACTTTGGTCACACGTCTGATTGTCCTTTATCCTGCATTCCTGAAGTCAGAGAGAAAATTTAGAACATTTTATTTTAAATACATTGATGCATAAAATTTTATTTCATTTAAAATACCCTTTACCATTTCCAAGCAAAAAACAGTACACATGTATTGGTAATTTATAAAAAAAAAATTGCAAGTATTGCAGAAATTATTTAAATACAAACTTTGGTCAAGTGGACATTTTCAATAATCACTAATTGTTAGGTTTTCTGGCAAAAGACAAACATTTATGACAGTGAGGGCTTGAAATTTACATTCTTCGTGTGTTTATATATATTGGTCAAATTAGTTACTTTCAAGAATGTGATATCTAAAAATAAATCAGATTATTAGTGATGCACTGATGTATCGGTACTGACATTATTGGCCATTTTGCCAACATATTGGTATTGGTAAATTTTTGACCGATACTGCTGATACTTTATATAAATACTATTTAAATATTCCCAAGATAATGCTACCAAAAACTATGAGGAACTCTATAGAATATTGTCTGAAATCTAATCTAGACATATAACCTGATTAAAAATTAACTATTAGAACTATTAACCATATCTGCATTTAAAAAATTAAACACATATACATTTAGACTATGCAAAACAATTGATCAAGCAAGGTTAAAAACTACTAGTTTGGTCTTGTCAGTACCCTACCTGCTTTCTTGTTTATGCTACTTCACAATAGATATGGCTCATGTTTGTTTACATTTGCTCACGATAATGGCACTGATGTTTCATGAATCATTATAATGTTTGGCCAGTAGTAACCCATTCTCATTGGAATATCATATCCTGGAACCCAGAATGTGGAATACGGAGTGCATCAAAGAAAATTTTTCATATTCCATATTTTGAGTTCCAGGATAATTGTGGTCAATGAAAATCCCCTATAACATATTTCATAAAACTTTTTGGATTACGACAATTTTTAAAGCAAAATACATTGTTTTTGAAAAGAATTTAAAATCTGAAAGTTAGAAAAAGTGTCAATAACTGTACTTATTAATTGTGTTTAATGTTATTGCTCAAATAACCTATATTTGAATGATCATAATTGTTTTAGAGCAGAAATCTTAGTACATGACTACATGGTGAATTAGGCTTAAGCCTAGATACCTTAATGAAAACAAGTCAAATAATTGACAATGTAATTATATATTGTCATACGCCTGGTTTTAAGCTGTGATTATTGCATCTTATTTTTAGGTTCTTCTTATGCATGGATATAGTTTTAAATTTTAGGCCTTAGCCTAGCCTCTCCTAATGTGGTTGACCTGTTGCCGTTTCCCTGTCTCCTTGGTTTGGCATTAGAGTGACTAGTTTATAATCCTGTATAGGCTTCCAAGGTTAGGCCAATGAAGTATAGAATTACAATGATTTAAATTTCATTAAGTCTAAATCATCTTGGCCTAAGTAGCTGTGGTACCTATGACCTATCTAATTTAAATTTCCATCATTACAACATTGGAAGTCACACGACGCTGGGAGCATGCGCACTGGAGTTTCTAGAAGAACCATGACTTATCGAGACACCCTCTTTTTTAGTATATAACCTAGCAAAGAAAGCCAATGATAGAGAGATAGATATGCAGATAGATTGAAGATATAGATAATTGAGTCAAGCGAACAGTAGGCACCATAAGTAAAGTGTATGAACCACTGTGATTTATAGTGTGTGTTATAAAGGTTGTTAAGTTTAACTTCACACTTAACAACAAACAAATTGTTACGACAGCGGAAGTCACGTGATGCTGGTAACATGTGATGAGTGTCTAGAAGATTCAGGAAGAGGCTAGTGCATTCTAGATGCCCTCTATTCTTGTATATAAGTGCGACAAATAAAGCGAGACAATTAATCGGAATTTAACTCGCAGATAGAGAGATTGAAGATATAGACACAGATAGTTGAGTCAAGTGGGCAGTGGTAGGCAGCGTAAGTAAAGCGCGTGAATAGTTGTGAATTATAGCGTGTGTTTAAGTTAAGGTGACTGTGAAAATTCTGTGTATTACAAAGTTGTATTGAGAAAGAATAAACTAGTTTTAATTAAGAAAGGACTGGTATCGCTGAAGTTCCCCGGAAAGAATTTATACAGAAAATTAACAAACGACCAGATACGTAACATTATAACCTTATATAGGGTACTGGAGTAGCGAGTTTCATTTTCATAATAATATTAATAGAAGTTATTATTTTTTTGCACAACTTTCCATTAGTATAAGCTAGTAATCACTAGCCCCTAAAATATAAACAAAAGGCTTCTTTTTTTTTCTTTCATCAACAAATAATCAAATATATTATGGGCTATTTTCCAAAAGTATTTCCTACAAGGTGATATATAGGCCTAAGCAGTCCTAATTTGTTAATTTCATCTATAATAACCAGTAGTTATAAGAACAGTGTTGTTTAGATGTATTTTTAAAGTGAAGAGAGATGCATCAAAAGTATATTGCAAACTATGCAATGCAGAGTTATCAAGAGGTGGTCAAACTGAAAAAACTCATAATACTGCCAACTTACAGAAACATATCTTAAGTAAGCATAAAGCAGATTATAATAAAAGAGCTGAAACTGCTTGAAGAGGAGAAAGAAAAATTGAAAAAGTAAAGTAAAAAATCATTTGGCCCATATTAAATCTTTAAAAAGCAATGGTAATGTAACTAAAGGGAAGAAGTCTGAACACAATGAAGCTTGTACCAGTACTCAATACATTACTGAGGAAAGTCTAGCTTTAAAAACATTTGGGACATTAATCACTTCTAGGCAAAGGAGCTATACTATGCCACTGGTGAATTATAGCTGTAGATTGCCAGCTATATTCAATAGTTGATGATACTGACTTTACAAGGTTAATGAAGAAAGCAAGACCAAATTATGAAATGCCAAGTAGGAAATATTATTTAGAGAAAGTAGTTCCTAGCATACATACATACTCCAGTAAGAAATAAAGTAAAAGAAATAGTACATGACTATGAAAGTACCAGTTTCACAACTGACATTTGGACAGCCTCAACAGCAAGCTCTTTCATTAGTTTGAAAGGAAGCTGTTTGTCAAAACATTTGAACAAAAAACAGTAGTGCTAAGAGTAATGCCTTTTCCAAGTTCTCATTCTACAGCACATATTACTGAAATGATTTTAAAAGCAATTGATTTTCACTTGATTATCCGAGACAATGGTGCAAATATGGTTAAACTGGTTAATGAAACAGGCTACGATTCCATTCCCTGCTTTTTGCACTCACAACTTGTGATAAATTACTGTATATTTCAACAAAGAATATAAAAGATTTAATTGCTAATTGCAAACAAATTACTGGTCATTTCAATCATTCAAACACTGCTTATACTAAACTAAAAGAGTTGCAAAAGTAGCATAATGTTTCTGAGCATAAGCTTATCCAGGATGTTTCAACCAGATAGAGTAGCACTTACTTCTTGTTAAAAGGATTATTTGAGCAGGAAATTGGTATAAGCAATTACTGTTTAGAAACTCCAAATCTCCCTGTGCTGGATGCTAATAAATTGAACTTAATAGGAAAGCTAGTTACTCTTCTAAACATCTCCTGTAAAGCAACTTTGAAGCTCAGCCACAGAAATATAATTTTTGCAATTATTCCTATCCAAAGCAGATATAGAAGGAAAATTTGGAGGCTTAGGGAGTACTATTGCATCTGTAAGAACTTCTGCAACCCATAATGATATATTTATTACACCAGTGATAAAAATATGATATTAGCTACTTTTCTTGAACCTAGGTACAAAGCTATCTTTTTTGAAAATATACATGATGAGTCATCAAAAACAAATTTGGTTAATTTACAATCAATGTTGGCTGTAATGACTGAAAAGAAGAAAAGGGAGAATGATTTAATAAGTGCAACTGATAGTCCTTCATTATCAGATGCTGGAGATAATATTCAAGAAGATGATTTAAGTGATCTTGACTCTGATTAATGCTATGATGAAGCTTCTCTCTATCTCAAAATAAAGTCATACTGATCTGATGACGAGGAACCCACTTTGAGACTAATAATGCTTGGAGACGACATGAATGGGTAATAATGGGTACCTGACAAAACCTTGGCAAAATGTTGTACATTTGCTGTTATGTTAAACTTATATTAAAGTTCTTCTTTATTACCCATTCAAGCCGTCTCCAAGTATTAAAAGTCACACAGAATCAGCTGACAATTCCAATTCAAACACTAGCCTGTTGAAATAACTGAAACAACCTCCAAAAGCTCAAGATTTCTTACAACTGTAAAATGTGAAGTAGGTAAGTACATGGCAATGGTAATTCCTTAGATTGGTGGAGGAATTACTAATATATTTTTCGAAAACTGAGTGTAGTTGCTAAGAAGTATCTTTCTGCCCCTCTATTATCTACTGAAAGTGAAAGACTTTTCAGCATTGGCAGAAATATTGATTCACCAAAAACAATTGTCTTTGAATATAGTCAAAATACAGTTTCTTGTAATTATGCTATTTTTTACATACCCTCAGTAAATAAGGCATAGTCTGCAAACATTTAATAACAAAATTGTTTCTTAACCTTATCTGAAATAAATAAAATCATAATGAGAAACATAATAATGAGCACTAAAAATCAGTATCATTATCACCTAAAATTTTGGTATCAGTAGATCACTACGTTAGATATAATTTTACTTCTCATGATGTTTTTAACATGTTTTAAAATATTTCATGTCAAAGCTCATTAGTAATTAGTATAATAAGAATTAATCACTTTAAACATGTATCCACCTTCTGGAGTTGGAGATCTTTTGAAATCTCTTGTTTTCTTGTTGCTTGTAGTGAAGAGTTTGAACTCTTTGCTGATGGATGTTTTTCAAAAAGTTTCTTCAGGTTATTATTTTTCTTAGATTTTTTGGGGGATCCAGATAACAACTCAGCAACTTGGCCAACTTCATAATCTGGTTCAGAGGCCATAACTAACAAGAGAATGGAACAATTAGCACAGTGGTAAATTGTCAGCAAGTTTTATTATTACATAAAATAAGGAAGTTTTAGACCTCACACTATAAAATTTATAAGCACTTGCTTATTCATTAAGTACAAAAAGTGACTTTGGATCTTTATGGTGAAAACTCATTAAGCAGCTTTTCTAAACAGTTCTTTCTTGTGTTAAATGTGGGCAAGAACGTTCGAGTATGATGTCTGTGTAATATGACAGATCACCAAATATACTTCAAATGTCATAGTAGGTTTTTAAAAATTACATATCGTGAATTTGATGGATAGCCAACAATTGCTTACGTCTTCCAAATTATGGTGACAAATGAGACAATAAATATTCTCTACAAATGTTGCTCACACACTCCAATTCAGATGGTTTGTTTTGGTTAGCCTATGGCTGGTCTAAACGAATATTCAGTTGACTGTCATTATACATACAGGAAAAAATGACAGAGAAAACAAACAACTTCTACTTAGTCATTTTATCATGTATAGTGTAAGAACTCCAGCTGTTAAGTCCAGTTGAGACACACATGTTGAAAAACAAAGGAGTATGCAATGGCATTCATGGCACACTAATTTTTGCATACAAGCAAAACTTTTACCCAATTGTATATACAGTTTTGCATTAATGTGACCCCTGTAACTCAATCAGTGGGTAAACAATTAATCTGAGGCACATAAGAGATAAGTTTGCAAGTAGTAAGGCAAACAGGATTTTATGTTGTAAAATAGAAGAACCAAATAAACATTCAAGAAAGCCATTAGTTCATTCTATTTTGTGCTGGATAGACCTCACTTGGAATAATGTGTTCAGCTTTAGTCACTTTATTCAGAGAAGAGCTACCATGATAATTCCAAGATTAGAAACATATCACATTGGATTAGGAAATTTCTTGCTATGTCTTAACTGGAGAGAAAAATGGTTTGTGAAGGCATGGCTTAGGTTTTATATTATAGTTAGAAATTTGGATTCCATAAATCCAGTTATGTTTTCATAATGAAATTTGCAGGCTGTTAGAATACAGAACAGACGATGTGAAAAAAAAAAAGTGAAGAACCAGTTAAAGCAATGTTCTTTGTCTAACAGAATGCTCAACAACTTAAAAATATGGAAGTGTTTGCTTTCTAATGTGGTAGAAGCTGACAAAATTCAAAGAGTTGAGCTCCATGATACCTAAATGAATGCATTCAACTCTGACACAAAATTTTCAGAAAGTAGAAAAAATTAAACGTGTTGTAGTTCTTACACATATTATAAAAATACAGAAAAATCTACATTCTATCAATTTAATTTTGGTTGATTTTAATACATTCCAAAGGAAAACATTGGTAACCAAGTTTTCCATAATTTTTCAACAATAATAATACAGCACTCGGCTAACAAAAAATATTTTGTTTAATATCCTTTATGTACAAAATTTTTAAACGATTAGCAGCCTACGTCAATCAGCAACCAAATATAAAGGTCATAACTAGAAGAGTTAATTGTTTGCTTTACTTCTTTATTTACTGTTCTATGTTTTAGGGAAAATAAGTTTAAGAACTTATTTCAAAATAGCAATAATCTATATACATACATAATGTATAATATTTGAAATGTGACTGTATTTTACAAAATACTAGTCCACTAAAACACAGCCAACACAAGTTACTTTGTACAGACCAAAGGTCAGTTTTATGCTAGTTGATAATGGTAACATGAGTGCACATGAGTAACGTCATTGTAAGTTCTGTATTGTTAGCCAGGCATGGGTGAAAGGTCAATATAATAAAAATAATAAATACATATAAATGTATAATGTTATGAGATTTAAGCTATTTCATCTAAACATATATGTTTTCGTGTTATAAGTTGTGTTCATTCTAGAAAGAAAGATAATTTATGTTTATTTCCTAATTTTTTAAGGTGGTTGCGAGATCATTCAAATCTACCAAACCCGTACAGAGATAACAGATAAAATATAAGGTTTTTTCTTAAGAAATGTTTGATAACTATCCAGACATTATGAAGATTTCGCATGTGAAATTTTTAATCTTAAAATGAAAATTACTTTGCATGAGAGAAACATTGCTTTACAAACCTTACGACTTAATGAAAAAACTTGATATTTTGCATATGAAAGCATTGTAATGTTTACTGATAATCTGCCAAATTTCATTAACATTTGCTTACTAATTTAAAAGTTATAGCATGAAAACTATAACAAGCACAAAATGGTTACGAGGTCATCACATTGACCAACCTCGTATTGAAAGAGTTAAGATAGCCTCCATTTTCTCTCCCAACTTACCAATTCTAGAAACAAATTACACATCTACACTATTATTACTAACTTCCTTAAAAGTGCATGACACTTTTGAGTTCTCAACTAAAATCCACTCCTTGCACTACATTCTACAAACTGTGTGTCCTTCACACTCATCGTTATTCTTATTCTTAACCACTGAAGTCTGGAAATTAATATTCAAAACTAAACACAATAAATACTCAGTCTATTGACCACACCATAAAGCCTAACATTGAAGAACTAAATACTACACTATTTTATTGGTACTTTATCTTCAAACTGAAATAACTAAGTTGGCAAATAACTAGTCTTTAAATATCTATTTAATAATAAAACTTATTTAGCTTGTTTCATAACTCATCAATAAACTAAACTAGATAAAGTAACAGTGCATTCACTAACCCTAATCTAACATCAGTTTGTAATACTTATGCCACTAAGACCCAATTTAAAAGTTTAATCCTACTAATAATATCTATAAATCTTATTCATAATATATCTTGTTATTTCAAAAAGTAACACAAAATTACAATAAATAATACTTATCAGATCATTACAATAATTCAATACTCCAAAAATTTCAAGAGCTTAGCTTTCAAACATGACGATCTTCATTCTTCTTTTCATAGCCAATTTTTTTCAATCATCTCTTACAACAGATTCCAGTATCTTGCTAACAAAGTCTTCTTACAACAACTTTAATCTTTACACCTGCTTAAAGTTTCCTAACAAAATGAAGGACTCCTTTATAAACTAATGCTCAATTTCTATCTTTAATATAGGTGCAAATTTAATAAATTACCTCTTTTATCCATTACTTGATGTTTATTTGTGAAATGGTTAGTAGCATTTCCTTCAATTTAATGCTTCAAATAGACAATATCTATCTCTTGCTCTTACTCCTTTCAAGCTTTGAAATAGGCCTTTTTTACCCACGCTACTTAAACCTAGGATTACTGACGGGAGGTCCATGTGGATCAGCTGACCTTTTAAGCACTTTAAAACTACATGCTTTATACACAGAGTTGATTGTAGGTTCATAATTTTGTTACTCATAAGGTCCCTAATGATGAGCAAGTTATACAAAAAAGGTAAACATAACTACTAGTACTATCAGTATCAAACCCATTTTGTTATCACTACTGGAGTCCTCTATGTATTTTTCACAAAAATGCATGCTCTGACTCAATTTTCTGTCAGTTATTTACAAATTACATTGAGAATTGTAACACTAACAGGCAAAAAGTGACTCAATATGATGCAATATGTGAACCCAAAAGTAGTGAACAGTACCTAAGCATTTCATCTGAGTCCAATGAGGATTAATAGTAATACACACAAACACCAACTGAATTAGAATTAGATGTAATAATTAGCATGCACCATAAAGAAAGTTTTTTTTATATTTTTGTTTTGTATCAAGAGTTTTACAAACATTTTACTTTCATTAATAACTTATGGTTAGTTCTAATCATAAGCTAAGATTTTCATCATCTCATGCCTACTCTATGAAGTCAAGATAATCTTAATCATCGTCTTTTAATACTAACTCAGTAACTGGTACAGGAATATTTATAAAATATTTCACGTGATACTCAAAAATATAAAAGAGCAAAAATAATTTAAAAATAAAAGAAAAACACGGCCTATATCAGACTGTTTTCTGTATGGCTTTTCCAATTTCTTTTATAAGCCAACAGTGGCGACAAACATTAAAACAAAGGCATTGTAGCGCTAGTGTATATTCTAATTTCAAGACTTCCCTTACAAGTTACATTATGATTAACTTTATTAAGCTTAGCCCTTACGACGTTATGTTATGTATTTGCAAGTTGAAATTATTTTTCGTTTGGGTTAAATAATATTTTTTTAAAATTAATAACGTTAAGGTTAGCTGTAATATCACCAGTTATTTCATTTCTATTTGGAATCCAATGTTTTAAACCGCATTTCCCTCCACTGTCAGTGACAGAAATTCAGTTCAGCCAGAGTAAATCAGAAATGCAAATCCTAAACCTTCTTTCATTTGTTCAAAAACGACAAAAGTCAAAACATTCTCTACTTCTACTTTCTAGGTAGATAGATACGATAAATGTCAAACTTTAAATCATAACATTGATATTTTACAATATTTTGTTTACAAGAATGACTGTAGTATAACAAAAGCATGCCTACCGTTATTATAATAAAAGTTAACGATAATAACAACGTCCTAAAAACTTTCTTCCGTTTCGCACCCCACGTTTCATGTCTCTCTCTATCTATTATCGAGCTACGCCATCTCGTAGGTGTAAAGGAAGTAATAATATTATTACAATTAATATATTTTATCAAAAGAAGATGATCTTCCCATACTGATGGATAAGTCACTCAAACCAACGAAGCAGTGTTCTATTGCTAGTAGTAAAGCCAATAGAATTTTAATTTGTATTTATTACAACTTACAATAGGTAGTTAAATCTCTTTACAAATCACTAATTAGGCTTCACTTTGATTATCTGTACAGTTTTGGTCTCCTAATCTAATGTGGATCAGAGGGTCATTGGCTTACACCCATTACAGCAAGAAAAAAAAATCGTCCTAAGCACCCTGGGGTCGTGTATACTTCATAAAAGTGACAGTAAAATCCCACTATTCGACTACAGTAACCAAAGAATGGGCGGTGGATGGTGTTGATTAGTTGTATTCCTTCTGGTCTGTCAGTTCAAAATTAGGGACTGCTAACTCAGACAACCCTTGAGCAGCTTTGGTCGAATATTATATGAAAACAAACAAACAAAATTTCTAAGGTTAAAACTTATCCATTGCACTCTGGATAAGTAGGTTTCTGCCACTACTCCTAACTGGGGTAGATGAGGTGTGTTACTCTTGGTAGTAGAAGATTGTATTCATGCTTTCTTTTGCATTAAAAAATAATATTTATATAGTTCTTTTAATATAATACAATTATGCGTGTGCTAAAAAATTAATTATCGCGAGAAAAAAGAATGGAATGTTATGAACGTCTAATTTTTGTATTTTTAGTTTGTATTTATGGCACAAAAACTACTAAAACTATTTGCTCCAATTTCTAATTTTGAACTACTGATCAGAGTGAAAGCGGCCAGTCAACAGCACCTACCACCCACCACCTACACTTTGGGATTGACTATCACTCTAATAATACACCCATAGCTTAAAGTGTGGAGGGAGATCTATTGAGGTATAACATACATTTAGGCCCGGCTTGTCAATTCTGAAATCCAGAGCTCTACCACAGAACCAATTCGTGCCGTACTTTACTTTTTAAGGACATTTTCAATGTTGCTGTTTTTATTACATATTGTTACGACAGTGGAAGCAATGAGACGCTAG